AGTCACAGACGCAAAGGGGGATAATGGATGACCATTGACAGCTTCACGGAAGTAATAAAACTCACGGTTAAGGATAACTACCGAACCGCGAAGTCCTCCCTGGATAAATCAATGTGCAATCGGCACGGGGATGTCTCCGAGCCTTAACCCCTTATCTTATGACACCGAAACGAACCGATGAAGATTTTATGTTGAATGCAACCAATGTAAATATTATTCGGTTCACAGTAGTTTACGGGAATGTAGTGACTTTTGCTTATGAATGTTTAATATTTACAGTAAATTTACATTTTTGGTAAGTTTGTTATTTCTTTCTTTGAAAGCTGGGCAATTGTTGCTGATCAGCTCTTATAAGCTTGATCAGGAGAAAAGTTATAAGTAAGGGGTTGATATTTGATTGCATTTTAAATAGAACATTATACGTATAATACGAAACTTTGGTTACTTGAAAACTTACTTTCTAACCTCGGATTTCTTTTCTTTAAACTTTGCAATTGTACAATTTTCTATTATAATACTTTTTTACTGTGGATATTCATTTTTAAAATGGTGTCAACTCTTCTCCGAGTTCTTTCTCTGAATGAAGAAATCTCAACTGTGAAAAACGAAAAAATATGACATTTAAACAAAATTAATGTAATTTTAATAAATTATTATAATATCCTCCTCTTAATTCAGTACCGTTTATATTTTCTGCAAGTAATATAAATAAAGTATGAATGTTCCTCCAGATTCATAAATCTGTATATAACTGACGTACTCAAAGATGTTTAAAGTGAAAAATCTGAATAAATTTGGAACCATATATTTAAAGTAAATATTACTACATTTAACTAAATAGCAAATATTTTTTCAAAAGTTAATAACAAATTTTTTAAAAATGATTGATAGTAAAAGGATTACATACATACCGCAATACCACAGTGTCACATTATTAAAGAGCTTCGTGTTAACACTTAAATAAGTAATTCAATTTAACGGTTACTTGGCTATGTGTCTATTCAGATCAATGAATTATTATGTTATATTTAAACTTACAAGTTTCATATTTCTTCTAAAATTTCCCGTCTTTGTATCTATTTATATAAAACAGCAGAACTGCATTTTTACAAAATAGCAAAAGTATAATAAGGGCTTTAAAATTAATCTATGTTACATACGTTTACTAGTAAAATGATAATGCAATGTAAAAAACACGTCATAAAACTCTTCGTATAATTAAACCAATGAAATCTGTTGCATAGAAACGAGAAACATTGTTAAAATATAATAAGTATTAAATTTCATTATGAATACCTAAAGAATGATACAAAACATTAATTTCTTTTCTCTCTATGTAGCCTCATTAATCAACAAGGTGCTTTGCGTTACTTGCAATATATAGGATCTCATAGCTGGTACCCGCCCGTTAATCAAGGAACGTGTAAAATTAACGCCAAGAATCTAATCACCGAAGGCTCGCCCCAAAATATCACAGGTTTGATTGACAGCTTAATAATGCCTACAACAACAGCTCACAATTTCAGTACATTTCCATGGAAGTAAATCACGAACCAAGAAAAACGTCAGCGCGTAACTCGGCGATACGCCGAGATAATAAGACAACTTTTTTATTAATCAAATATATTACCATCTGCATTGACGAATTAAAAAAGAAAAAGAGAAATCACCGAAGGGCCCAGTCTCTGCACCCCTGTGCCCTGCTCGAGTTAAATTACTATAGAAGACTTTATCCACTTTAGGCACTGGCCGTCAAGCAATCATCCTATTGGCGTGCCATCGTATCATGAATGACGGTAAGAAAAGCTACCGAGAGCCGGTTGCCACGAGTTCCCCTGAAATACTATGTGCCGCTCACTCTCTTGTATTCCCACGGTCCACTTCGCCAAGACAAAACAATACGAAACGATGTTTCCAATCGGACCAACAATGGGACACGTAACGAATAGCCCGTCCTGACGGATGTTACCCAGCGGTTGACATGTTTACCAGCATGACGTTTTAATGGGTCGAAGAAAGACAAAGCATAATTGTTACCAATTTAAGGTAATTCGATCACCGCTATGCCAACGATACATGCAATCCAGCCCGATACATGTCTCATAAAGCTTAACCGTTCGTGGACGAGGATTTTTGAAAATATTAACCCTTTGCACTTAAGAGGCGACTCTCGATCGTCACTTGGTTCGGCGCAGTAAAATTTAAAAATTTGATATTTAAAATATTAAAGTATAAGGCATCAGTATTTAAAATACTAAAATAAAATAATCCCTTAATTTGTATGTGACTTTTCTTTAAGTTCGTTTAAAAAAATGTCGTCTATATTTCATCGGAAAATGTCGAACACTTCTAGTGACAGATAATTGAGTGCAAAGGGTTAAAAATCTTTTCGATAAGAAACTGAATTGTACGTCAAATTTTTAAATATCGAAGAAGGAGGAAATTACATATTGATCATTTATTAATTAAATGATTAATGATTTGCTCAGAACTTCTTATTGTGGATACAGAAGCCTGATATTTCTAATATGATGACACGCATCCTCAAAGGGTTAAAGAGACGACTCATCCGCGTCGACGCGGTGGTCCCCGCGAAATGCTAGAACGCGGTAGACGCTATGTGTTAATCGAATTTTTCTTAACGCTTGTCCATCAAGAAATTAACCGCGGCGAGCCTGCCGCTATCCGCGGAACCTTGTTATTGCGTCTCTGGCCACTTTAAGAAGCGACTTGCGAGATAATGACCCAATTAGATGTCATTTACACGTGAGTCACATTGTCAATTTATCCATGTCCGGCTGCCAGACTTTAATGTCTTACGCTCCATGGTTATCCACGTTTGGTATAGAAAGGTAAATCGCCTCGAGTGACGCGCGGCGTTGTTGAACGTTGCCGCTCGAGGCTTTTGCTTCTGTGGAAACGAATCGTGCGGTTATAAAGAAGGAAACTTATGTTTCGATTGTAACTATAATATAACTTTCAGGAAGGAGTATGAAAAAACGCAATCATCAATGTTAGTACACAATGTAGTTTGCTTTCACCTTGAACAATACTTCAGCTTGTTTCTAACATGCTACCCACAAGGTTTGAAAGAAATTTTTCGTTTAGTTTCTTCTATAGTTCTTCAAATATAATGAAATAATTTTTCTAATTAGTTACTCCAATTTTTAATGAGTCCTAGACACTTCATTTTACTGTGATTAGAAACAATGGTCTAATTTTTCGACTATACGCATTTAATTCTCGAGGTCTTCGTCGAATTGCGTGTAACGTTAAACATAGGTTTTTCTTGATTCGTACAATGCGAGGGTCACCCTAACCGGTAGTCGCTCGACTTCTTCCTCTTCCTGTTTTGTCTACTACAGAACCAGTATCCCTATTCTTTCCTCATAGTTTTTGTACTTGTGTCTTGCGTCGAATTTTTCTGCCACTTTCGCATTTAATTTATAATCCATATTTGATTAATTCTTGCATTTGAGCACGAGCTTATTTTTTAATTATTTTTATACTCAAACTATACATATACATTTAGTAGGCTGAGAAAATACTACTACACTCAGTACGATACATTTTTAAAAGATCAAGGAAAAATAGGTTTACAGGCACTGAAAAGAAAAACATTTTCGAAAGACACAAAATTATCGCAATGAAAAATATGAAAAATCATTTAACTTAAGTCTTTTTTTAACTTTTATTTGGCGCCATTTGTTTTCTAGCGTGCACCACCTGTGACCACGTGGTGCCAGAAAACAATATCATTAGTGATACACGTGGTCGTCCCACGTGATAATATTGATAATTTCTCCCAATAAGAAAACAAAATGATCTCCCTGTCCGAATAAAAGCAACAAACGTAAATGCCAACAAAGCATCCGACAGTGTCCTATTAGCGAGAGGGGTCGCTAAAACTGGTTCAACGCCGAATGACGTCGGAGCTCTCGTTTTCTTACCCACCTAGTATACATATCCGGTCGGCGGACACTCTGCAACTTTCCTACTTCATTCATCGACGCATTCTGTGGCCTTTGAAGGTTGCACAGGCAGAAAGGAGCGGGCACGGTCGCGCGCCGACGATCAGAGTCAGCCGGCGTGCACGCCGACCAGTTTCAACATAATAATTCCTTCTTGGAAATATATCGTGGTACCAGCGCATTCTGTGGTATCGTGAACAGAATTCGTATTCGTTACATGTGGACCGAGCCACGAACGCTTGGCTCGTGGTCTTCCCATGACCTTTTTTTTTTGTTCTGACTATTCTCACGTTGTCAACATTGCCCGGTGTCAATAGAAGATCAGTAACTCTTCCTTCGGTGATAATTAACAATAATAATTGGAAACCAATCGTGGAATGTTAAACGCCGAAACTGTCTGTTCTGTCCATCTTCAATCCTCAGAAATTCAAGTTTCTATATCACGCCAAGGTATCTACGGTATGCAGTAAAATAAGAAATGCGAGATCATGTGACTGTAAAACAGGAAGTTGTAATGATAGGGAGCACAGCATCAATGAAATGGAAATCTACCAATGACTGGAACACTATCGTCATCTCCGACAGTCCCTACGTCACCTTTGGGTCAGCAACCGTGACGTGGCTTTCACCGAGCACACCGGTACAGTCGCCTTGCGCATTGCGATTTCTTGTCATCGCTGAGTCGCTTTCAAATTCAAAATTCTCTTGATAAGAGATTAAAAATAAATCAGAGGAAGTCAATATTCTGTCCAGTGAAGCTTACCAGATTTAAATGTTTCCAAACGCCAAAACTAGTATACTTCTCATTGGCAAAATAGAATACCCTATTATTTGATTCGATGTTTAACAACAAGGTACCAAACATATTCTACCAAGCCACCAAAAAGTGGTCCAAGCATTAGGACCCCAAGACAATCCCTGGTTCAAACGCTCCCGCCGCTCCAAAACGTCGCTGTGCTCCACTTCCAACGAACAAAGCGTACGAATAATCTATCAACGAGCGCGCAGCCTGGGAAAACAGCGATACCGAGCGAACTCCGCGTTCCATCGAAAATTCCGTTCGTTCGATTCTCAGAGCGCGCAAAGGTATTCGTGCCTATAGCCGTGCACGTGTGCGCGAGCACCCTATCAGGGAAGTAAGAGGGGAAGGTTATCGACGGCGCCTCGTAGAACGAGAAGAGGGCGAGAGAAAGAGCGTGCGCGAGAGAGAGAGAGAGAAAGAAGTAAAAGAGAGCGGGTGAAACGGTGAAGAAAGAGAAAAGGCTAAAGGAGATAGTTCAGCACTGGTAAGGCTGTGGTGTAGCCAGCAAGTTCGTGACGTTCGGCGTGCGATGGTGTAGACCGCGTGCCGGGATACGGCAGTGCACGATGGTGGGGAGGAAACGTGAATGATCCATAGAAGCCCCTATCGTTGTGTGACCGGGCTAGGCCGGTGTGTTAGTCTATGGAGCGCAGTGTACCGATGGAAGGGAATGGGATGGTAGTGGAACGGTGGGAAACGTCAAAGAAATGGTAGGGATACAGCCGGGTAGAGCGGTGGGGTGCGGGTAGAGGTTCGGCTTCGGAAATGGCCGCGGGAAAGTAGAGAGCGTTACGTCGTCCAGCAGGCAACCGAGCCAAAAGTTTTTCGAGTGCAGCGCTCGTTAACCCGGCGCTTCGGGCGTGCGATTCACCGGACACTCCGAGTACGGTTCTGCGATGTTTTAAGTAAAAGTCTCGGTAGCCGGACCGACGGACAGACGGATTTTGTACGATTGTTATCTGGCCGGCGAACTCAGTGTCCGGGTGGACACAGCCAGTGGCTGAAAGAGATCAGTGCGGGCGGCGGTGCACGAGGATGGCCGGCGACGACGGTGCACCACCAAACAATGAGATTCTCGGTACGGTCGGAGAGGAGGGGCAGGGTGCGTCAGCGCGGGGGGAACCGCATTCCAGAGTGGGCGGCATCCTGGAATGCGATCCCCCCGGTAACAGGAATTTGCCGAGCGAGCGAGCCTGCAACGAGCACGACGACGGAAGCGGTGAAACCGTGATTGCCGACGACGATTGTAACAACACCACCGAAGCTGTTGGAACCGCTGTGATTGCCGACGATAACGGCGGCCTGTGCCGATATGCTATCGGCACCGCCAATACCGCTATGTCTTTCATCGAAGTTTGTCAGGTAATAACCCGGGATCGCCGGTGTTACATGCTTTAATCTGCGCTTGGCTGTCAATGAGCCCTCCTCATCTCTTCTTGCTTCAACCTTATGAGTTAGTATCTCCTTCGCGCGCGTTTCTCAGACTCCCTCTCTTTCTCTTCGTCTGTTGTTCACGTGAAAGCTTTCTATCTGTGTTTCTAATGAGAAAGATTGACAATCGGCTAATTTCGAGATTATACTTTTGTCAAGGATTCGTTGAAACGCCGGTTTCACGATTCCGATTAGCTTCTGATTGATACCGTGTCCGGGGATTATTGTTAAGTGTCAAGCTATTCGGTCTTTGAAGTAATAAGAACGAAGCACCGTTAATCGTTCAATTACTGGCTCGCTTTCTCTACTCGGTATTTATTTCGAAGGATTTCCATGTGGCAAAGTGTTTCAAAAGGTGATTTCTTTTAGATCCGACTGCAGCATCTTTTCCCGCAATTAGTTTCGTCCTCTCAGCGGTATAGCCTATGCGAGGACTCCATAGAGTTGACAGCGGAATGTTTGGCCAACGACGTGATACGATATCTGCTGAAAGAAGATATTTATCTTATATCACGAGATCCGGTCTCCCGTAGCATGAGACATAATGTGTATCAGATGCTTAACAAGCACAGTATTTTATTTGCAAGCATGGTAAACCGTTTGAATGTTATGCCGGACACAGCATATGAAGCGTTCATGGGTGTCGCGGATGAGCTGTTTTTGCACGGTGGCGTTACATGGCCGAGAATCGTCTGTTTGTATGCGTTCATGGGAAGACTTGCACTCTGGGCACGTGACAGGCGAATGCACAGCCTGAAGAAAAAATTACCGTTGTATGTCTCCAGATTTATTGGCGAAAAAGTGGCACATTTTATTAAAGGATACGGAGGATGGGTAAGTACAGTATGACATTTAACGACTTTTACTGTTTGCAGAACCGATGATCATATGTTTATTTATGTGTTGTTACATTTTGGTTGAGGATTAAATGTAAAATAATCAATGTCCGATACATTTACCTTACAATTTGTAACATTAGTAACATTGATAAACATGGTCATTAACATCATGTTAACAACATTGTTGACAATTGTTCACATCAGTGCTACTATAATTCATTTAGAGATATTATATTATCAGTCATCTTTTGTTTTCATGTAAATACAATTTTCTTGTTTCTGATAGTAATACATTTCCTTAGGATCAACTATGTATAGAATATCCGGTGGCAGAAGAGATTAGTGGAGCTATCTGGAGGAGCCTTCTCATGACTGGTGCAACCCTTGGTTTAGTTGCGACTATTTTAACTGTAACTTCCTGATATACCCTTACAAATCAAGCCTCTCAGGGTATGTTTTACACAAGACCTTTTAGCGTACTTATATTCTACCAAAATGCGCTGAAAAACAATTTTCAAGAGTTTGTAAGACGCTCTTACATTAGTAATGAATATGGAATTGTGTGACTGGAAAGCTGAATGTATTATGTCTTTGTAATGGATGCAGGATGTGAATTTATTCTTGTCCTTGTAATGCACACAATCTTCATATCAATGTCACTTCGTTTAGAAACATCCTACTTTTTATGTAACTACAACAAATATGTAACATAAGAGAAGGATAACTATACAAGTTCCCTATTATATTCATATTTTGTACTAATTGCAGCTCGATGGAGTAGTTAAATTAGTAAACAGAAGTCTTATTTAATGTTAATCTAGACATTTCATATCAAAATAATTTCATACAATACTCAAAATTGAACTTCCAGATATTTATACCAAACAAGAGTCTCAAAATTTTATTGAATTTAGGTAGAAACAATCTAAATATATTTATTTATAATTTATTTTAGGTAGAAAATATATTAAATAATAAATTCCCCTTGTCAATCAAAGACCATCATAATGGATGTGTAAGATTTATAAAAAAATGATTGATGTAATAGTGCTTGTTAAATATATGATAACATCTTTAAACAACAGTGAACATTATATGTGGTAGCTTCTAATAACTTTACAAAAATTTTGTATAAGCATTTGAAAATAATAAACACTTCTACAAAATATAAATTTTTCTATTTGTATAAGTTCTTCTACAAACCTGTAACAAAACAAATGTTATTTGCAAAATCAAGTACAAGAATTCTATATAATATGCATTTATTTGAACATTTAAACATTTTATGTTAATAAAATATTTAGATGTCTTTTTCTGATTATTATAAATGAAACTTTTGCAATCGTAGAACAGGTTAGACGATTCAATTCAAGTAGCTGATTTTTATGAAGAATATTCAGTCAATTTCATTAAAGATTAATACAAAGTTAATACATTCATTTACGCTTAATGATCACATTTAATATAGTATTACTTAATAATGTATATTGATTAATATCGACGTCATACCCTAAAATCTGTAATGAAAAATGTCA